TGGAGGACGTGACGATGCACGCGGACGCCATTCATCGTGGTGGTGGCCAAATCATTCCCACCGCCCGCCGTGTGTTCTACGCGTGCTGCCTGACCGCTGCGCCACGCCTGATGGAGCCGATGTTCCAGGTCGATATCCAGACGGTGGAGCACGCGATGGGCGGCATCTACGGTGTGCTGACGCGCCGCCGCGGTGTCATCATCGGCGAGGAGAATCGCCCCGGCACGCCCATCTACAATGTCAGGGCGTACCTCCCTGTCGCGGAGTCCTTTGGCTTCACCGCCGACCTGCGCGCCGGGACTGGCGGCCAGGCGTTCCCGCAGTGTGTGTTTGACCACTGGCAACAGTACCCGGGCGACCCGCTGGAGCCGAAGTCGCAGGCCAACACACTGACGCTGAGTGTGCGCCAGCGCAAGGGCCTGAAACCGGACATTCCGCCGCTGGACACCTTCCTTGACAAGCTGTAGGGTGTTGGCAGTATATGTTTTTTTTTTAATTTTTTTTTTATATGTGTATTTATTTTTTTTTTTTTAAGGATTTTCTTTTATTTTGTTTTGGTTGAGGTGGTGTGTGACTGGATTTATTGTGTTTGTGGGGTTTATTTATTTATTTTTTTGTTTGTGTTGTTTTAAAAGGTTTTTATTTGTATTATCAGGAATTCTTGTGTGTGTGGTGTTGTTATGGAAGAAACCCCACACTATTCTCGTGTGGCAGATGCGGCTGAGTCTATTAATGTTGTGACGGGCCGCAGCATATATTATGGGATGAGACCTTGGCGATGTGATGATCGTTTTCATGACTTGCTATCGTCTTTTTTAAACATGGATTCTTTGGTTGTGCAGTTGCATCTGGCTGGGCTGCTGTGGCGTTGCAGTCGTTCTAAAAAGGGATCGGAGCCTATTGATTGTTACAAAAGATTGGGGAGAGGTGAGGTGATGTATTATGTGGATCGGTATAGAAGTGGCATGATGCGGACAGGTTACTTTGACAAGTATCCATACAATCAGAATGAGCTGCAAAGGATCATTGAGGAGGATGGCTTGAAGATGCGTGTATGGAGGCACCAACGCGAGCTTGAAATGGAGTCGAAGGAAGGAAAGATTGATGATCTTCTTCGTAAGAATGTTATGAAGAATACCGAAAGGTTTCGTTCTGATTGATAGGCGGTTGCTCAAATACATACGTTATATTGCTTATTATACGGCCAAAGGACATTAAGTTTTTGGTCTTGCACTGATGATTATTTTTTTTCTTGGACGCCTTATAAAATTGCGTGTTTTCGTGGGCTTGTTGCTTTTATGTTGTTGTTTTTGCTTTTTTTCTCATGTTGTGTTTTGTGCATTGCTTCTTGAAATTAGTTTTGTTTGAACTTCTTGGAGATGCACAGCAGGTGGAATGGGTATGAAGAAAGTAGTCTTTTGGGCTGCGGTGTTTATCCGCTTCGCCGCACGTCACGGCTCACTCCACCCGGCCCTGCACCGCGGATGGATGAAATGATTGAGGAGGGCGAAGAGGAGCCACAAGACATTGTTGACGAGGCATTTTACTTTTTTAAGCCCCACATGTTTTTTCGTAATTTTCCCATTAAGGGTGCTGGTGATCGTGTCATTCTGTACTTGACGATGTACCTTCATGAGTGTTTGAAGAAAATTGTCCAGTTGAAGCGTGAAGAGGCCCATTCTGTGCTTCTTAACTACGCTACGATGCCGTTTGCATCACCAGGGGAAAAGGACTTTCCGTTTAACGCGTTTTTCCCTGCTGGGAATGAGGAGGAACAAGAAAAATGGCGAGAGTATGCAAAACAGCTTCGATTGGAGGCCAACGCACGTCTCATTGAGAAGGTTTTTCTTTTTCCAGAGAAGGACGGCACCGGAAACAAGTTCTGGATGGCGTTTGCGAAGAGGCCTTTCTTGGCTTCTAGTTAGCGGCGATGAGTGGGAGTCTGAGTCTGCAGGAATACATGGGTTTTATTAGGTATGCTGTGCACATATATATATATATATATATATATATTTGTGAAAACTTTGTTGAGGTGTGATATATTTTTTTCCCTTATCCCTCAACTGACAAGAACCTGCTTTTCTAGGAAATTATGTCGCGGACTTATGTACTTTTTGCGGTGTTAGCTCTGTTTGTAGCAGTGGGGGTCCCGGCGATTATAACGAATGCGGAAGAAGACGATGGGCTCGAAAAAATGAAGGGAAACTGGAGCATTTTTTGGCTTGCGGGACAACGTCCACGGCGAACGGGATTTGTGGCTGAACTGTCAGCTGCGTCTCTTGTGTTGCGTGAAGAGGAAGATGCGTCGAGTGCGGTGATTGCAGTTGCGGAGTCGCTCCTGCGTTTTTTGCGTCTGTTGGGGACGCAAGATGACGTTCAAGGGTCATCGTCTGTTCCTGCTGCGTGGCTGTTGGGCCTTCCGCGAGTTGTGAATGCGCGGGTGAGTCGTGAGGGTGTTCACCTCACGGACTGCCCCAAGGTGGGAGTCACCTTTGCACGGCCTCAGCATTACATGGAGGCGGGACTTGGTACTGTTTTTGAAGCGCCGCAGACGGTGCACCTTCCTGTCGATGGGACGTGTGCGCAAGCCCCTTTTACCGTACGGGGGTATTGGTTGGAACGGCTAAGCAAAGATGAAATTCTCATGGTGATAATGGTGCGTGTCGACGGCGAGGACAACAGCGCTGTCTTTCACCTTTGCCGACGATTGGAGGAGGGGACTGGTGTACGGTCGTCCATCACTTCGGCAGCATTACTCGTAACGGTCGCGCTGATAAGATTTTTTCCGTCCGTGTTTTGGAGGAGGAAAGGAGGAACTGCGAGCGCCACAAGAATTACTCCAAATCCTCTTCGGCCTGCTCTTTCTGAGCTTCGTCGACGTGAACTTTTACGGCGACAGGAGGAGATTATTCGACGCATGAAGGAAGAAGATGGAAGAAGTTGAAGTTCTTTCGTCCGTCTCTCTCCCGGTGTGTGTGTGTGTGTGTGTGTGTGTGTGTGGCTTTAAAAGTTTGCGGCTTTGAGGTAACGTCGTGAACGACGGCAGTTGGGCCTGACCTGTGCCTTGTCATATTCAGCTGCGTATATACCTAAAGGTCTTGGTTTAATCAACTTGTAGCATTATACAATTTTTTAACTATTCTTTTTTTTTTATTTTAATTTTTCCTTCTCCAGTTTCAACAAGAACAGAAACGGTTGTAATGCACGGTTCCGCCGCGATGATACCGTTGCAAAGCAGCATAAGTGTTGACGATTCTTTTTTGGAGAACTCCATTGATTTTTGCAGATTTGAAGGGGCGGGGAATCCGTCAAAAGGCCCTGTGTTGACTCCGCCCTTGCAGCTCAAGGTTGTTAACGAGGCAGGCATATCAACGAATGACTGGAATAGCTCCACGAGCGCTGTTTTTCTCGTCGTTAGCTCCTCACCCAGATGTGGCTTAGTGGCACGCTTTTTTTGCACACGACTTTTGCGATATCTTCGTTGGTGTGGTGAGAGCGCCGTGTTTTTTTTAGCAGGACCTAATGAACGTGACATTGAAGTGCAGCGCTTTGAAGATGACGTGGGCGCCTGGGAGAAGTACGTGGAATCTTGTTTGGAGAAATCACTTTTGTATTTGGCTTCTAACCCCTGTCTTGGGTTCTCGGCTATCCCAGTAGTAATTCTCCAGACCGACTGCGAGTCCGTGGATGCGTACGACAGGCTGCATGGCATGCTGGATTCGAGGGGAAATTTTTTGGTTCGCCACATTTGGTTTGATGAAGACTGGAAGGAACGCGCTTCTCCGAAAGGCGGCTACATTAATGTATGTTTAAAGCAACCAGCACTCCGCGTGACGCGATCTCAATGGAGTATTGTCTGCTCAAGGGCAGCGGGATATCTCAACAGTTGCCTTCCCGCGCTTCATCGGGTTTACCTTGACGAGCCTTTGGTGGGCTCCCCGGAGGAGACGCTCAAGTCCTTTTCTCCGCTCTTCTTTACTCGTCATGGGCAGTCGGAGTACAACTTGCAGGATCGTCTTGGCGGTGATCCCGACCTTACTATTTTGGGCAGAGACGATGCCTTGACGATTGCTGAGTTTTTTAAGCGGCAGGTGGTGGGAAACAGTCGTCTATTTGCATTAAGAAATGCCGTGTGGGATAAAGAGGAAGGATTTGAGGTGTGGTGCAGCCAACTTAAACGCACCCGACGTACGGCTGAACCATCTGCGCGGGTACTGACAAGAGGGGAGTTGAAGACGTTCAAGACACTCAATGAAATTCACGCTGGTGTATGCGAGGATATGACTAACGAGGAAATAAAGGCACTCTACCCCCCCATTTCGTCTTTTCGACACACGGACAAGGTAGGGTTTCGGTATCCCAATGGGGAGTCGTACCAGGACCTCATGCGACGTCTAGAACCTATTTTGCTGGATCTTGACGTCACACGAAAGTGCGTTTTGGTTGTGGCGCACCAGGCGGTGCTGCGGACTGTGCTTTCCTTCTTTGATGGTCCGGCGGTAGAGGAGGCCGTTCACACACCGTGTCCCCATCGCAGTGTCTGGTGTTGTACATACAATCGACTCGGGGAGCCTCGCTTGACGACAATCACACTCAAGCCCCGAAAAAAGAATCCTGAAGAGGATTATGAATGTAGTGGGTGGTGAAGGCATTCTTTGATGCACAGTGCACGTGGGGCAAGCTTTTTTTTTTTTCTTTTTATTGTTTGGGTTTTCCTCACCCGTTGTATATTTTAGTTGTTGGTGTTTTTTAATTATATATGCAAATTTTTTTTTTCTGTTTTTTTATTTTTATTTTTATTGTTGTCTTTTTTTTTTTGTCTGTTGTGTGCTTACACATATGTATATTTATTTTGGTATCACTTTTTTCATATGCTGTCAGTGAGTCGCATTATATGCATGTATGTAGTTTATTTTTTCTTGCTTGAAAAAAAGGTTTGGGATGTGCGTGTGTGTGTGTGTGGGCGAAGAGATAGTGTTCATAGGGACGAGCACACCTGCCAGCTTTTCGCCCCAGGACCTTCTCGGTGAGAACCGGTTGCGCACACCGAAATTTTACTGATTTACGTGAAAAAAAAAAAGAAAAAAAGAAAAAAGGGATGTGGTAAATATTTGTGACGGCGTACGGATTTTTCCTGCAAGACAGGGCGCTATCTTGTTGGCAGATTGGAGAACGGTGTGACCCGCCGTGCCATGGCGTCCGAGCCCCACGGCGTCCCAGTGGCTTTGAAGGGCGGGACTGATCCTCTTCTTCAATTACGATACTTGAGAAATCGTTGGGCTGTGAAAACACTTATTGCGAGCAGGAATCATCTGCGCATCGTGAATGAGCGAGCGTTTATTATTTTCGCGTTCAGACGAGTTTTTTATCAAGTGCCTTTCCTGACAGTTTTTTTTTTATTTTTATTTTTGGGTGTGCTAGGGCTACGCAATTCGCCTATAAACGTGCGGTTCAACTACTCTGCGTTTTCGGTTCTTGAGCTGCGTATATTTTTGGGGAGCAATGGAAGATTTCTGTCTCTTTTTATGCTGTACTGGCCATGAACGCTTCAACGCATGGTTTATAGCACCCGTCCTTTAGTGTTGCAGTGCCTTTGTTGGAATATTGCCTTTACGAACGCGTGGAGGGTTGTGGGGAAAACGGATCTGAGTGCCTTTTTGTGCCTCATCCACGAGAGGAATTGAGGAAAAGCCTCCTAAAAACTCCAGTGTTCTTGTTTGTGATGTTGTGCGCCGGATTGCTTTTTTGATGTAAGCCCAACAGCTGTGGTGGCAGCCCCTATGTGTGCCGCGTCGAATACAGTTATGTCTACTTGGATGCTTCCAGGTGGTTTTGGAGGCGCCTATTACCTTCCCTGGCAATGCCGCGGGCCGCCTCAGCGTGGTTGCCAGGGTCAATTGCCAGGTATTGTCGGGGGAATTCAGGAACCAGCAATGTTTCCATCACCGGATTGTTGCTGTTGGCACGTGGCTGACGGCATCGACCAGAGGCGTATTACCAGGGAACCGCTACATCTTGCTGGGGCACGGCACAGCACCATGAGGTCTGGGGGCACGCATTATCGTGGAACGTGAGGCATTGAATTGAGTTGAGTGAAATAAAAACACGAGGGGAAAAAAGAACAACAAAAGCGAAATCTCTTCCAGTTTTCTTCCGGTGCTTTTGCTGCCTTTTTGAAACGGTGTTTCCCACACAAATTTCAGATTACGTCACGGCATCTTTCAAAACGGTAACTGCCGCACAATTTTTTAAAGTGTCGTAGTGATTTTGCTGAGTTATTGCTTGAGAGGATGGATTTTTTGATTGGACGCTTTAGCGATGATGGTGACAAAACCGAGAATATTTTGCCATTCCTCAAACGATGTGTCGAGGCATGTGTTGACACGACAAGGACGGCTGAGGTGGGCGGGGGATAAATTATTGCTGACCCTCTGCTCGAACATTTGATTTGTTTTGTTTATGACTCGCTGAATATCGATGAATACTTCTGCGCCCGTTTGTTTGGAGCGTGTCTCGCAGCATACGGCAGTGAAGTGGAACCCGCCTGTTTTACCACGCAGACGGGGTTGCTCCTGAATCAGGAAGTATGACTGGCGAACGGAGTCGATTTTTGGCTCTCGTGGAACGTTTGCTTGAGGGTTTTTTGGCGAATGCAAGAAACCATGCGGGGCTCTTCGCTGATGAATTTTCTTTCTTTCAGCGCCTTTGGGGAAGCATTACCATTCAGCGGACGAAGGATTGAAGGGCTGGCGGTGGGGGCGACTTTGCTTTCCTGCGTGGACGCGGCCCATTGGCTGCCACAGCTGAACGCTTTTCTTTAATTTTATTTTGGAGGCCAATTCTTCCTTGTTTGACGGCGCCACGACACGCTATCCAGCTCCCTCCCCTCACTACTGAAGGGTGTCCCGGCTTGCTGCCGGCCGTGTTGCCGCCAATTAAACTTCTCTTTGGCTTACTGCATCCCTCTTTGGTAAACTCCTCTTCATCACCACCATTCTTGTGTTTTATTTGCTCCCCTCAGGTTGTTCTCCTTTTTTTCCTCCACGTCCCTTTTTTTTTCCTCGGCCTGCTTCACTGAGAAGGAGGAGATAAAAAGTAAAAAAAAAAAAAAAAAATAAATTAATACGAAATCATCTCAACAATGCCCGGACACGGCGAACACTCACCAGGTGTGAAGGAAACAAATGTTGACGTGGCTTCATCGTCTTCAGCCTCTTCAATTCTAGAAGAGCGTAAAAAGTATTACATCAGTCAGGCGCTCTTTGAAACCCTGCAAGGCAAGGGATTCAGCGATAATGCCATCAAGAAGTCCATAGTTGCGGGCTGCATGGATGATGGCACCTGCACACAGTGGATCACAATGCATGAAGGCCACCCAGAGCTGGACACCCCTTTGGAGGAGGGTGTAGAGGTGGTTGTCAAGATCAAACGTATTCTCACCGAGGTTGAGCGTGAGGCTAAAGTGCGCGAATTGAGGGAAAAAGCCAAGGCAAAGGTTGAGGAGGAGAAGCGGCTCGCTGCTGAAAAGGAGCGAGAGCGCATTGAGATGGGCAGGAGAGCTATTGAGACCAAAGAAATGCTCGACAAACTTCGACGGGAATCCGAACTCGCAGCAGTGCGGAAACAGAAGGAAGATGACGCCATCGCCAGACGCCGGGTGAGGGTGCAGTTACTTGCTGACAAGTATGCGCGTCAGGGGATGGCGATGGAGGAGGCGTTCCGCGTTGCCGAGCTGGAGGTTGAAGAGACTGTACGCCAAAGACGCCAGGAGGCTACCCATGTGGAGGGGAAGGACGTGCAAAATGCAAGAGAAGGTGCCCCGAAAACATCTCCGTGGGATGTTGACGGCATCATCGCACAAAACGTCTCTCTTACTGACGTTTTTGATAAACCTTTTGAGCCGCCGTCTTCTTTACCCCGTTTGGTTGATGAGTTGCGCAATCATAAAGACGCTGCTGTTGCTTGTCAGTGCATTGCGGTGCTACTAACCATTTTGGGAAATATACTTAAGAGTCCCTTTGATACTACGAAGCGCTCATTAAAAACAACAACAAGTGTTTTCTGTACAAAAATTGCTCCCGTGCCCCCTGCCATCCAAATCCTGCGCACATGCGGGTTTCAGCTCGCCACGGACGCGAATGGGAATGAGTCAATGGTGTCAACCATAGTTGTGATTCGCGTGATTGAACGAGCGATTGCTTTACTGCAGAATGAGGTGTGAACAATGAATTCTCCGGCGGAAAGCAGAAGAAAATTTGACTTATAAAGACTCTCCTTCTTCTCCTGTTTCCAACTAGAATACCGGATACATATATATATATATGTAGTTTGGTTCTTTTTGTTTGTTGTTTTCTTTTTCCTTTTTTATGAGAAAAAAACGAGTGAAGGGAGAAGGATGGCGGAGAGTCAGAGAACGGCTGCATCTTACGATGAGATTGCGCGAAGGCGCGCGGGCGATTGGAAGAGCAAGGAGTCTCCTTTTCGATTCTTTAACAACTATGTAAAGAAAACTATTATTCAATTTGCACTGGATCATTTAAAGTACAAGGAGGGGTGCTCAGAAGTAAAAGTTCTCGACTTGGCCAGTGGACGAGGTGGTGATGTTGGGAAGTGGCTGCATTGCCAAAGTCCTGAATTGAGCTTTGCCACAGCGAAGCTGCCGCGACAACGTTTAACGAAGGCCGTCTTTTTAGATTGTTATGATGTTTCTTCAGAGTGCATCGCTGAGGCGCGGAAACGCTACGAAGCGCTTGGGTCAGGAGTAGCGTGCAAGTGTGTTTTTACTGTTAGAGACTGTTTTAGCGAGGAATTTCTCTGCGGTCAGCTGCCATTGTTGGAAAACTTTGGTAAATTTAATGTTGTGTCTATTCAATTTGCATTCCACTACGCATGCGACACCCGGAGACGTATCGACATGTTAATGGCAGCGATAGCAGGCGCGTTAGCGTCGAATGGTGTGTTTATCGCGACAACGGTTGACGATGAGGTTCTTGCCGAGCGTGTGCGGGAGAAACGAACAGAAAGTACCGGGTTGTATGCCCTGCACTTTGATTCGGAGCCCGTGTGGGAAGGGGATAGACTTGCAGTAGGCACAAAGTACCTTTTTGAGCTGGAGGGATTTGTTGACTGCGAAGAATATGTCGTTCCGGCCTCGTACGTTCGAGAGCGTGCCAATTATTACGGCTTGGAGGAGGTGACCGAATATTCCAAAACTTTTCGATCTTTTTACGAGGAATATAAAAAGGACTCAGCCAAAAATAAGGGATTTTATTTGTTTCCCGGCTATTTGGAGCTTGTCACACTGTACCGCACATTCTGTTTCCGCAAGATTAATTGAGGTGCCGTGTGTGTGTGTGTGTGAGCGATGAGAGCTTTGGTTCACTCTTTCATCTCATCGGCGGCAGTATATTGCTTATAGGCGATAAAAACTGTCTTGTGAGCGCAGTGAGTATATGTGATTGCCTTTTGAAAAGCTGTTGATGTTATTATTGTCATTTCCTTTTTTTTCTTTTTCCTTTTGCCTAATTTGGGCTGCAGTTTTGTGAAATTGCCTGGATTCGTTTTATTTCATTTTTATTTTTTATTTTTTTGCTTTTTTTTGCTTTCCGCTGAGGTAATCTTAAAGAAGCCATGTATGCAACAGCTGCCACAGCTGCTGGCGAGAATCCATTACACGCTGTGCTCACTGAAATGATTTCTGGTATGTGTGGAGGATCCGTGAAGCACACAAGCGTGACGGCTTCCGACGGCAACTGGAGGACGCGTCAGGTGATTCGGGAGTTGAGGGGGGTTAAGTCATTAGAAGTTTTTTTCTCGACTGAAGAACAGATCCGAGGGGTTGTCGTGAGCCAGGAGACAAGATGCCGTGTGAAGCTTCTTAACGCCTTCTTATCTGGTCAATACCTTCTGGAGGAGCAGGCATCGGTGCGTGAGGAAGAGGAGAGCTGTCGCCGAGAATTGACACTTGTGGCTCTTTCTGAGTTAAACAGTGAGGCCAGTCTGCTAACCGTTGTGGGAGAGGAAATGTATGACAGACATTCTCTCGAGAATGCATGCTGGAAGGGAAGGATGAATTTGAGGCGATGCCAAAATTTGGCGTTGTTGGCGCTGCGGGAGCAAATCAGTCGTCGTTTTCTGATAAAAAGGGAGGCTATGAACCGTGTGGAAACGGAACGGCGGCGTTTTTTGGCGGTAGGGCGTGAGATTGACATGGAGCTTCTGTCTCAAGAATTTTACCGGACTACTTCGATGGCTCGTTTTAAGTCCTCTAAGCTCACTCTTGACCTTGCGCTACTTCTTGCGGAGGAGGAACGAGAGCGGTGCTCACTGGAGAGAATGTATTTGCTTAAACTTAGTTTAATGGCAAATGATCAAGAGAACGCTGCAGCACGATTGGTGGTCACCTCCGTCATGCGGGCCTCTCTGATGCGGCGTAAATTACGCGACGATGCTTGCTGGAGGGAGCGGTCTTTGATGCTTCTACTGGTACCTTCTAAAGAGCTTGACATTCGTTACATGATTGAAAGGAAGGAAATGGAGGAACGACAAGCACTTCGGGTAAGTTTCTTAACGACATGGCGCAGTGTATTTAAACGCACAATGAATCCTGATGAGGGGACCGTTATTATAGAGCGACTTGAGTTGTATGAGCGACGCTGCGTATTTGATCAGTGGAGGTTTGGTTTTAACGCACTTAACGACCGACAGGAACGCGAACGATGCATCCTTGCAAGCCGCGAGGCTACTTACGATGTGTTTTATCACTCGGTTATTGACAGTCTAACTGCCTTGTGGAAGCAGGAAAGCGAGCAGTTTAATGCATTGCGTAAGCGGTACTCGGAATTTGTCTGGTCGACCCGAATGATTGAGGCAACGATGATATTGGCTGCTGAAGAGTGCGCAGCACGACAAAGGATTATCGAGTCTGAAGCGCGGGAAGCAATTAAAGTGAATTCGTCATTTTATATTCGCCGCTGTGAAGAGGCTGCACTTGAAGGAGCTGCGTCCATCATGGAGATGGAGCATAAACGCCGTATTTCGCTGATGCAATCGAATATAAAGGTTGTCAGGGATGTTTACTTTTACCATCTTCTCTACGAGGAGGGATGGCGTCGAATTGATATTGAGTCGGAGGCCCGCACCGCGTGGTCAGACATTGTTTTACAGGAGAGCGCACCGCGTGGCTGTTCTTTAGGCTCTGCGGATCGCTTGAAAGACGCTCAGCGCACACTTTTGGTGAGGGATGGGCATCATCACTTCATTTATCACAATTTCACTTTGGTGATATTTACGGAGAAGAGTAAACGGGAAATTTTGGAGGAGAAGGAATTGGAAGACCGTGTCAGTGTTTACGCCGCCGTCCTCGGGCAAGTGGAGGAGTGGAACCGGTTGGAACTCCAGACCGAAGGCCAACACGAATTTTTGCGCATTCTGCTTGATGCAGTGGATCACCGTGAGTATGTTGAGCGGGCGATCTTGGAAGAGTTTGAGCGGGAGAGACGTGAATTTCTATTTGTTAGCTTTGACTACTCCTTGCCACACTTACGAGCCTGCGAGGTGGATGAGTTAACTGCCCGTCTAGACATTATTAACGAAGCCGAACTCACCGTGGGTGCACTGGCGTGTTCATGGGGAATGCACTGCCATGTGGCATACTGCTCAGAGGAGCTCCGCCTAAGTCAATGTGCTCTACGTTTTATGTCATCAAAAGAACTGTTTCAGGATCGCGAAGTGGCATTGGTGCGTGCTGTAGAGCCGATGTCACGAAGAGAGATCATCAACAGAGAGATATCGGGGAGGTTGCTGTTGTTGATGGATGCCCAAGAACAGCGGGGGCGAATACGGATTGAAAAGGCGGCAACAGATGCTTATAACGGCGCTCAAGAATTGTTTGATCGCATACTTTCGCGTGCGGATGACTGGAGGACGAGAGGCGTATTAAGAGAGCCCGTGGTGCTTACCGGGAGGGAGGCACTCATCGATTACTTCCGTCGTCAAGAGGCATCCGTGGCGGTTCGTCTCAGGGCCCAACAGGAGAAAACGCGAGAGTTGCTTGGAGTATTTTTTGCTGATTTTTACTGGGGCCGTGATTCCATTGTGGTAGAGGAATTTGTTGGGCGTGAGAGCATCATGGGGACTTTTCTTTGCCCTCATCCTGCCTTGCGTGTCGTGGGAGAAGAGCCTGAATCCAAGCTGACTGTCCGCTTCTACAGCCTCGCTCTGATGACAAAAGATGCATTGCAGTCGTTATCCATCAGGGTACATGACTCTTTGGATGATGTAGGAGTAACGTGTGAGCTGCTTGAGGCACAAGCTGTGACTGCTGCTGGCCGCGTCTTTCGTGTCTGCTTTCCTGTACGAGTGATGAGGTGGGTGAGGCCATTGACGGAAGAAAGCAATGTTCTCCACTTTGAAGTCAGACATTGTGAGGGAAGTTTGGTTGCGACGGCCTCCATTTTGCTCAGAAGCGAAGAATTGAAGAAGACCAACGGCGCTACTGTTTTGTCCCTTCCTACGGACGACAAGCATGGGAAGATGAACGTGGTCCTGCATGTAGAATAAAGGCGGCCAATATCTACTTGTGCGTTACATGTAAAGAGATGATTTACCGTTACCCTACTTGTACTCGCTCTACGGTTTTGTGAGGAGTGCATGTGCGTGCTTTTTTTTTTTTCTTTGTTACTGTAGCGTTTTTGTTTCTTTTGACTCTTTTCTTTGTTGTGAAGCTGCTTTGATGTCTGAGAGGGAGGGATTCACACTTCCTAGATGCCTTGTGGAGGTATTACTGCGTGAAGTAAGTGAGCAGTTTGTCGTTGACGAAACCGCACGAATTGTGTTTAATCAATTTGCTGAGTTTATCGTTGGAGATGAGCGGGAAAAAGAACGTCTCAGTGGGGAGGACATGGGCCTGTGATCAAGTCAATAGCGTACGACACTTTCAGCAGCACTCGCGGCTGCACTTCATTGGGCAGTGGAAAACAAAGGCTCATGACCTATTCAAGGATTGGTTTGCTGTGCACCCCACATGGAACCATGGCGTCCTTTCCCACCAGGCCCTATTTGTTCATCTCGACATGGACGCCTTCTTTTGTAGTGTTGTTTTAGCGAAGGAAGAAAATGCTCATATGCGGGAAAAACCGGTTTGTATAGCCGCGGGAAAAGGCAACAGTGATATCTCATCAAGCAATTATATTGCCAGGTCATTTGGTGTGCGTGCTGGTATGTATGTGAATGCCGCAAAAGAACTGTGCCCCAACTTGCAGGTTTTAAGTTACGACTTGCCACGATGCGAAGAGGTAATCAAATGTCTTTACCGTTTGTTGTTTGAGCTTTGTCCAGATAAAGTGTGTATCGCTGTTGAAGTGTACAGTATTGATGAGGTTATGATTGCTTTTGATACGGAAAACCACGATGTCGTGAAGAGTTACTGCGCCAACGTACTCCGTCAGTTGGAGCTTACCACAAACTGTACCGCCTCATGTGGGATAGGACCAAATATTATGCTTTCTCGTATTGCCACACAATACGCCAAGCCCAATGGAGTGTATTCTATTTTACCTCAAGATGTACCAGAGCTCGTTGGACACATGCCATTTGTCGAGATTCATGGGGTTGGGAGCTGTACTATGACGAAGCTGCGTCCATTGTTGAGGCCGTACTTGAAGGATGCGGACATCAGCGATGACGATATCCTTTGTTGCCATGTTCAAAAGCTATCCAAGCAACAGCTTCAACGGGCTTTGGGTCAGAAATCCGGAGAAAATTTCTTTCACCTATGCCGGGGGCATGACACACGTCAAGTAAGCCGAACCGGTGACGAGGAAAATCAGCGTATGTTGGGAAAAAAGACGCCCACGAGCGTCAGTTGTTCCATGAACTATGCGGTAAGGCCTCTCACGTTGGATGATGTATGGGGGATTCTGAGAGAATTACTAGAGGTTGTGTGCGGCAAAATGGATCGAGGAGGCTACACCAGCTCTGGATTGCGCGTCACTCTTTTGGAACGGCATCCATTGCATCCAAAGGAAACTCAAAAGTTTATGGGGAGAGGAAGATGTGTTGAGTTTCACGTTCCCATTAATTTCGAGAAACCTCTGCGAAGCTCTGAACTGGAATTGATGCTGTCACAAGTGAAGGATGTCGTTACACCACTGTTTGTCCTTGATCGCCAAATGAGCGATGAGGAGAGGGCGCGTGAACTTGGTTTGGAGGACGATGCAGAATCGAGGGTTATTTGGACTGTGAGTCTCAAAACGGTAAAGGATATTGTGATATCTGACATTCGTGGGATGACGGTGCAGGCCACTGGCCTTCATGCTCAGGGAGGTGCGGTGACCGAATGGAAAAGCACAAGTGGCGGGCAGCTCTCTCTTTTTAATGCTTTTTCGCGAGGCAATAAAAGGAAACGGCAGTCGTCAGAGGTAATATTGAGCCCCCCCACTGGCATTGCCCAAGTGATGGAGAACGCGTTTGAGCCGTCTGTGGTTGAAGATTTGATGGGTCTTGATGTTGACGAGACATTTATTGAAGATTGGAAAAAAGCCGTAACGGAGGCCAGTCAACGCGCTGATTACACGGTAATGAAAGCCCTCCTTCGTGTTGCTGCTTTTCAATGCACCGCACGCTCAGGGTCGTGTGATTTAGCACAGACAATTTTTAAGGATCTCGTGGCTTACGCCAATGCACTGCTACCTGTCCCTGTTGCATTCACTTAAGTTTTTAAGCACTAGGGGAATGTGTGAAGACGACACCGTCAGGCCGCGTACTATTCATGAAATGATTTTATTCTTATTATATGTGTATATGATATCTATGAAACGTGACCTTATCCTTTTATTATTATTATTAATTTCTCTTTTTGGGTTTTATTATTATTATTATTACTAGAGGGGCGGGGTTTCTCTTGCTTGCGTTAGATGAACGCAGCGCTGCTTCAGGGCCTCCGGCGTGCGGGTCATTCGCTTAAGGAAGGCAGTCATAATGAGGCAGAGTATGTTATTCGATCTCTACAGGCCATTAACGACCCTGCAGCAGCAGAGGAGACAATTCGTATACTCCAAGACAGCGTCCAGGAACTGGGCCACGATGTGACATATGTGCACTTTGCCGCCTTTCGTCTCTTGAGGTTTTATCTCACACGCAATGGGGTTTTGTGGGGTGAAAGCACACGACGACTCTTGCGTTTCTTATTGGATTATGTAGAGTCGAAAGGAGAACAAGTTGTGACCCTTGCGTGGCGCCCTGTATTATCGGAGGCAGCTTTGGATGCAGCCGTTATGTTAAAACTTAGCTGCGCTGGTGCTGAAGGTGGCGTTGATAAAACTATTTTTTTAGGGATTGTTTCTGATATGCTGTCTCTTCTAGCTGAACGTAAATCGGAAGGATTCATCGTTTTTGTGCGTCATGTGGTGATCCATCTTGTTGAGGAATTCGGTTTGTATCATCCATCATCCAGGGGGAGGGAAATGCCGTTACGGTTTCATCGTGCATGCCGCTCCGTATTTGAATGTCATGGTTTGGTGCGTTTTCTGGACGCTCTACTGTGCTGCGCGGCCACTGGTCTTTCAGAGACTTCTCGAACCGTTGAGGCACTTTTTCAGTGTTTGGACACCATTTTGTCGTGGTCTACTCACTGCTTTTTTGAAGAAGAAGTGGCCGAGGATGAGTGTAGTCATTCTTTCCGAGTCTCAGGCATTTTGTGGCATACGTTGCTTTTGGAGGGCGTCACAGTAGCAGGGACGAAAATCACCATAGACTCCCTGCTTCGCACGTGGTACTCTGAAGGTAATCTGTGTGGTTTCTTCTTTAATCCTTTATCGCTTGTGGAGCTAATTTGTCAATTCTGTGGCATTACTATGGAGTCATGGAGCGTTTCTGACAAGATGAACTACGGAGAAAGATTTCTTTCTCTTACATGTTTTGTCACAAGGAAGCTTCTTGCTGTTGCGGGGCCGTGTGAGGATGCTCGTACCTTTTTGCCTCTTGCTATTTCCGGCGTTAGAAACATCGTCGAAAACCTGGGGGATATTTTCGCTGTTCATGAAATACTCGTTTGCTACGTCTCAGAGTTATCCCTATTTGCGAGGACTCTTATTGAGTTTGATAGCAGGTTTCCAGACGATGATGGCATCATGGCCGCCTTGGATAAAGCCTTGAGCTGTTTGTTTAAGCTTGTAACTATGATGCCTTGGCATGATGTTTCATGTACTGCGGTTGCTGCAGCGGGAATGGAGGTGCTTCATACATTTTTGTCGGTCAAATTGTCGAACGCCCATTCCTCTGAGGAGGCAGAGCACTTTTCGGACACTTTTACAATGTCCCATATTTCCCTTTTAGGACACTTGGCTCGGTCGGATCCAGAGCGGGCCGCAGAGTCTTTATGCTTGTCATTGGAGGCACTGCAGGGGCGCAATGCCAACCTGGAGCAGCATCTGTCTGGATCAGATCGTCTCCAAGTACAGGAAGGTATTTGGCTGGTTTTGAAAATTATTGACGCCTTTCTGGCCGATGCCTGCGAAGGTGAGGAAGTTTCAATTCCCTCATGTTTTACCGGTAGTTTCAGGTCGGGGTCGCATCCGGTACTTAAAGTTGTCTCCACACTCATGGTTCTCATGCAGGAGGTTGAGCGGAATTTATCTGTGGCAAGCCCTGCTTTAGTCTCTGTCTCTTTTGGAGGTGTTTGGTACATTCATTGGCGTTTACGTCACTGCAGATGATGGTGGTGTTGCGGGAAATATTTTTTTTGCTCAAGTATGCATTGCTGTCGTTTCGCATGTGTTTCACGCGCTGCGTGCATTTTCTTTTGATGAGGACGTTGCACTTGCCGGGTGCCGGGTGCTTGATATAAGTGTAAAAATAGAGGGCGTGGCTTTTCTTTTGCGCTCATCCGAGATTCTGCACACAGCGGAGGAATTGTTTACTTGTGGTCAACTTTTTTACGAGGACGTGCGAGGGCGAATCGCAGGGTTTTGGATTCGGTGTATTTCTGAGGGCACTTTCTCGGAACAAATCGTCCCAGTTCTTCAGAATTTTGACATTCACGGAACGGATTTCACTTCTGTGGATGTCACTCTCTGTCTTGAACGGTGCTCATCGCTCGCCGGGTTGTTTGTCTCCCTGCAAGGAAGTGAGCGGCTGGCGTGGTGCTTTGCTTCTCTCACAAGCCTCTGTGATCACGTGCTGTCGGTGAGTGTTTGCCGTTTTTACGAAAAGGAGGTCACCATTCGCACCACCGAGTTAATACTGCAACTTTTTTTGACCTGCTCCGTGACACTGCACGGAGAAGAGGTGTTGTGGGTGCTTAGCAAAGTGCGCATGACGCTCGCCTCGGTCATCAATACAATTGCTGAGGACCCCACCTGGAGCAATGAGGGCGCCGAAGAAGAACAGCATCGGCTCTTAAAATTAATTTCAAGGCTTTTCTGTGAAGTCTCTCGCTGGGTAATGATGGAATGCACGCTTCCCTCGGATATTCTGCATCCCTTGGGCACATCTGTCATCTCCTCCTTGTCGGGCTTTTTAAAACTGTTTAATGAACGCTCATTAAGCTTTCCAGAGTTACGAGAGTCTGTCTTCGCCGCATTTCAGCTCTGTGCCGAGGCTTTCGCGCGTGATTTTGTGTCCCACACGGACTCACAGGTGTTTTTATTGACGATTTTGTTTGCATTGGATGACGAGTCGGTGGACGTGCAACGCGTTGGAATAATTGTGGCCGAGAGAGTGGTGACGTGTCTACGAGACTCGGGCTTGAAGAACCACGAGTTATTTGCACAACTCCTCTCGACAATTTTGCGTAGTTTTTTGCGGGGTAAAATCGCAGTCTCCTTCTCCTCTCAATTGGCACGGTGTCTCACGACGCTTTGCGGCTGTCTCTCCCCAGAATTCGTGGAGTCGGTTCTTGGGGAGACGTTGAGGTTGTGTCCTGAGCCTAAACTGACTGACATTGTGCGAGGGGTGATGCGCGTTGTTCACGAGTGTGTTGTGAGTGAGGAGTCGCGTCGGCAAGCAGTTCTACGCAGTCTGGACGAATCTATTGCAGACGGTCTGTGCAATATTAGGAGTGTTCTTCTCGCTTAAATTGGCAATTCCTAATTGTGTGTGCTGTTATCAGTTTTTTTTTTTTTTGCTTCTATGCTTTTAATAATATTTAAATAAATATACTCACATGTATGCACGTATGCTTTTTTTTTTCTCACTTTTTTTTTTTTAAATAAACCATGCACAATGTGTGTGGCCATTCTGACGGCCGGTTATGTATTTTTTAGGTGAGGAGAGGCATTTCCGTGTCTTGTCGCTGAGTTTTGGGGTAAGAGGTCTGCAGGGGAGCGTAACATCCGAGGCAGCAAAAATCCAGACCCAAATGGCTCTTCAACAGACAGCGTACAGCGCATGTTCACGCAAGGTGCATTGCGTGAGCAAACACTATCTGGACGACCCATTTGTCCACTTTTTTTCGCGGGACATGACGATAGTCAATAGCCCGCTTATGAATCGTGGAACGTGGCTCCGGACGGTCGCAATAGAACGTAGTGTGTTATCTTTTGCAAGGAACTGGTCTGCGGATGGTCCTTTGCAGGTGATCAGCTTTGGCTCGGGGGTTGACACGCTTTACTTCCGCCTGAAAAAAGATCACAGTGAAGTTAACATCGTGCGGTACATTGAGCTTGACTTTCCTGACCTGGTGGCAGAGAAGCAGAGAGTAATAGAGAAAACCGAACGGTTAAACCAACTGGTTGGGCCTGAGTATGAGTTAGTGCCGTGTGACCTGCAGAAACCCGATGAGTTGCGGGAAATATTGAAAAGAGTTGCACGTAATGATGTTCCTACCGTATTATTGGCGGAAATGGTCTTTGTCTACCTGGAAGAGCGGACAACCACGGCAATCCTAGAACTGACGCTTAATGATGTACTCAAAAGAGATATGTGTGTATTACTCATCGCCTATGACGCTATTCGTCCCAATGATCGTTTTGGAGAAGTGATGGTGAATTCCCTTGCCTCTTCAGGGGTCCCTCTTCGTGGCATTAAGGAATTGCCTACGCCGGAAGCCCATGCCGAACGATGCAAGAGGGTGGGATTAAAAAGTGTCATGGCGACATCCATGAGGCAACTTTATCTTTCTGTTCCACAGGAGACACAGGAATGGTTGAAGAAACTTGAAATGGTTGATGACTGGGATGAGTGGTGCATTATGCATGATCATTACTGCTTTGTCCTGGCAACAAACAAGGCGGAGGCTTTACCAACAATTTTTTAACCCTTGTTTTTTTCTCACTTTCGTTTTATTTCTTTAGCACGTGTCTCGCGCTGCCCTTTACGATACACATCTTTCTTGAACCACGTCATTGTGTATGCATACAGATGATGGGTCTCATGAATTTTGTACTGTAACACCTCAATTCTTGTTCTTTTTTTCTGTTTTTTTTTTTTTTTTTTTTGGATGGGTCTCGCCTTTAGTTGTTACTTTTAACGCATTTTTCGTAGGCTGCCATTGACACGTTGGATCGATACAACCCGCATTTGTAATTGCATCCAAAACAAGGAAACAGAAAATAAAATTATATTATTTTTATTATAGACTATGTCTTTTGAGGAGCTGAGGCTAAAGGGAAATGAGGCCTTTAAAGCGAAGAAGTATGAGGACGCCATCGATTGTTATACAAAGGCGATTGACATGAGTCCCGAATCGGAGGTTGCTGCTGCGTTGTATTCAAATCGTGCGGCTTGCTGGCAAAATATGGGGAATGCGGCGAACGCACTGAAGGATGCGGAAAGCTGTATTCTTTTGAAGCCATCCTGGCTAAAGGGATATTACCGAAAAGGGTCGGCACTTGAGAGCATGCAGAGGTATGACGAGGCGCTGGAAGCATTTCAGCGTGCTTCAAAGCTGGAACCTGAAAGTGAAGAAATTTCAGACAAGTTGCAGAAGCTGGTCCTCATTCTGAGGGGGCGCAACGAGAAGGCGACTCCCGAAGGCTGTAGGACCTCTGATGAGGCCAAGAGAATAGGCAACTCCATGTTTTCCGCTGGGAATTTTGAAAAGGCAATGTTGTTCTATTCTCGTGCCATTGAGCTTTCCCCCGATGGGAATGGAGAATTGGCTAATTATTATGCAAACCGTGCGGCTTGCCATCAGCAAACGCGCAATTACAATCTTGTTATCAGGGATTGTGACAAAGCCCTTGAAATTGATTCTACCCACGTCAAGGCACTTATGCGTCGCGCTATTGCGTATGAGGGACTAGAGGAGTGGACCAAAGCGCTGAATGATTATAATCAGGCTAACAGTTTATTTCCCGGGATGGCGGCTGTGTCACAGGGCGTTCTCAGGTGTCGGCGTGCATTGATGCGCTAACAAATATTGTCGGATTCACATATCCATTTTTTTTTTTTCCTTTTGCCAGTAAATTTAGTAAAGCGTGGTTTTTGCGCACACAAATTGCGTCCAGTTTCTCCGCTGGTTGGGTGGAATTTCCTGAATGATGCAGGAGCCTCTTCTTTTTTTCTTTTTTCCCATTTTTTTTTTGATTGTTTGGCTGAGAGGCATTTCTAAAGAAAAAAAAGAGGTGCATCAGTGTTTTTTCTTCCGTTGGGGTGGGAGAGTGGGCGGTGGGAATGCGTACCAAGAGGAGGCTCTTGTACCTTCCAGATGAAGAGGCCACACTTCTGGGAGATCTCACGGACTCACCGCGCCCACGCCCCTCCCGTCTCTCTCGGCTAGCAATTTTTTCTTCGGACGATGAGAAAAAGGCTGCTCCAGTGGATGACGGCACAGAAACTCCGGGCGCGGGGGTGGTGGACCGTGCATTGCTCGTTTCTTACAACAGTTTTGCGCTGGCTGATGGGTCAGGTAATTTTCGTCGACCAATGACAGCTGGAGAGGCAATGGCGCTTTATAGATCTCTTCGGAAGTGTTGCCGTTTTCTGCGCACTTTTTTGCAAGACAAATCGATCTCTGAAACATCAACGGATTCCTTATCAACTTCTACTTCTGAACCTAGTGAGTCTTCCGAGTCCGAGAGTGAGTCCGAGCCTCGTCAACGGTGGCATAGGCGGCGTCCTAAACAAGCGGAGAATTTGATGAAAAATGGGGAAAATTATGCCGGAATGACTGTTGCGGAGCTTCGAGAACTCCTGAGAACGAGAAATTTGCCTCTTTCTGGTCCCAAAGCCCTTCTTGTTTCTCGCCTTCAGGGAAATGATGAAGAGGCATCTAAAATGGAGGAAGACGGCCAGTCTACTCTAATGGTGTCTGAGTGTGGCAACAACGAAAGTTCCGATGCAAATTCTTTTTTTTCCATAGAATCCGAAGTTGCAAAGTCCTCTCAGAACGTGTGGAGTGCTATCGTTAATATGGGATCGAGACTTTTCCGTAAGTCCACTGGTTCTCTTCCTGAAGAGAAGAAGAATTTGTATCGCAAGCGTCAACGAATTGAATAGGTTGCCTTATTTCACCTTTAAGGTCGTTTTTTTTGTACGTTTTTTTCCTTTTTCTTCGTTGTTTGCTATTCTTATCTGAGTATGGAGTTTATTTTTATTTTTTCTCTTTTTTTTCTGCTGTGGATGGTTCTCCAGATTTAAATGCGTTGAATTGCTTGCTCCTCATTGCATTTTTTTCTTTGCGCTTTTGATTCCTCATGACAAGATCCGAATTCACAACAATGAGTTTCCCAGAGGCATTTGTCATTGGTCTTGACTTTGGCTCCGATTCGGCGCGGGCTGTTCTTGTTCGGGTATGCGATGGAAAGGAGGTTGCTGTGGCTGTGGAGCCGTATCGCCGTTGGAGCGATGGCAAATACTGCGATCCATCAAAAAACCAATATCGTCATCATCCTTTGGATTATATTGAGGCCTTGGAAATTGTTGTTTCTCGGGTCTTGGACCAAGGACCACCTGAGGTAAGAAATCATGTTGTGGGAATGGCATGCGATACCACAGGCAGCACACCATGTTTTGTGGATGAAAAGGGTGCTCCACTGGCCCTTCAGGAATTGTTTTCAGAGAACCCGAACGCAATGTTTATTCTTTGGAAGGATCACACTTCGGTAAATGAGGCTATGGCAATAAATGATTTGTGCAGGAAATCTTTAGTGGATTACACAATGTACTCGGGGGGGACTTATTCTTCAGAGTGGTTCTGGTCCAAGGCTCTGCACGTGCTTCACCATGACAAAGCTGTTCGGGAAAAGGGCTACGCCTTGTTGGAGTTGTGTGAATGGATTCCTGCACTTTTAACAGGGGTTTCTTCTTATGCTGAAGTGGTAAGAAGTCGGTGTGCATGTGGCCATAAAGCAATGTGGAATGAGGAATGGGGTGGATTCCCGCCCTCTGAATTTTTTTTTCAACTGGACCCGGCGTTAAGCGTGATACGTTCCAGAATGGGAGGTGATACATTTACGGCTGAAAAACCTGTCGGCTGCCTTTCTCCAGATTGGTCTCGACGTTTGGGACTTAGGGAGAATGTGGTTGTTGCTGGAGGCGCGATTGATTGCCACATGGGTGCTGTCGGTGCCGGGATTGGGGAATACACACTTGTTCGAGTAATGGGCACCTCCACCTGCGATGTGATGGTGTCGTCTCGAGAAGACATGAATAAACGGCGGATCAACGGTATTTGTGGGCAGGTGGATGGATCTGTTTTTCCCGGGATGATAGGTCTGGAGGCAGGGCAGGCGGCTTACGGTGATGTTTTTGCCTGGTTTTTCTCGCTGCTCGCCTTTCCGCTAAAAACGGTGATTCAAAATTCTACTTTGATATCTGAAAAGGAGAAGGTGAAGGTCTGGGAAGAGTACAAAAGGGGCATTTTTGGCGTACTAACCGAGAGGGCTGAAAAAATGGAACCGAGTCCGGTAAATGCACTTGCTGTTGACTGGTTTAATGGGAGGAGGACACCTGATGCAAATCTCCTCCTCAAAGGGGCGATCAGTGGGCTTACGCTTGGGACGGATGCCCCCACCATTTTTCGTGCTCTTGTGGAGGCTACAGCATACGGATCACGGGCTATCGTTGAACGGTTTAGGGAGGAGGGTGTACGTATAGATCGTGTAATTGCGGTTGGTGGTATAGCAAAAAAGTCGCCACTGGTGATGCAAGTTCTAAGTGATGTTCTTAATGTGCCAATAGGTGTTTGCCGCACGGATCAGGCGTGTGCTTTGGGTGCAGCAATGTTTGCTGCAACCGCTGCAGGTTGTTACAGCTCGATCGAGATGGCTCAGAAAAAGATGAGCAGCGGCTTCGTCAGTGAATATACATCGTGCTCAGCAAGGGCAGCTGTTTACGATACACTATATGGATCCTACCAGCGGCTTGGCCGTGCCATTCAAAAAGAATCCTTTTCTCACCTTTGAATTCCTTAAAGAGAACATGGAAAAACGTTTTTTTTTTTTTTTTTGGTTTTGCTCCTCTTTTTTTTTTCCCCCCTTTTGGGCAAACTTTTGCACCTATCCCAATTGACATGTTGGCCGGGTTTTATGGTGGGAGGATACCGCGGAAGAAGGGAAATAGTATGTTTGGAGCGCTAGGGCTCAGAAAAGAAAATAAAAAAGCGATGAAAAAGAGAGTCGAGGGAGGCTTATTTTTTATCTGTCTGGGGGAATTTTTTTTTTTTGTGGAGGAAAATTGTGGGATAAATATGGATGGAGGTGAGGGCTGTTGAACGTTTATTTCCCCAGGCGGAATACTTTACTGTTTACTGTTTCCGTGGCTTCTCTTTGGCGGATTATAAATTGGGCGTGACGGGGCCTCGGGAAGGTGGTGGGGGCTTTGGGCTTTCCATTCCGCCCACTCCCTTTGGGCCCGGCGGAGCCTCCCATTCGTCAGCGACGCGCGGGTATCCCGGCTTCATGTTCATGTACACGAGGTGTGTTTTTTTTTTTCTTTGAGGTCACACCGGCCGCTGATGCATTGTTCACTTTGTGTGGGCTGTTTCTGTTCCCGTGATTTATTAGGAGCTTGTGAAGAGAATGATCGCGGGAGAGCTGGCTAAATTAATGTATGTGTATCCTTATAAAAGGAACACATTTCTTTACAACACATTTATACCGTACAAATTTTTGGGAAGAACACGACTTTGTAGGGGCAGGGAGCCGATAGGAACCAGATAATATTTGTTTTTATTTTGCCATCCCACCCTAACCATTTTTTGATTCCCACCACGCGGCGGGGTCTTGTGGTTGGAGGACCCGAAAGTCTGCCACGTCGTAAGTAATAAATATTCAAATCCCATCTGAGTAAAAAAGGCCGCGTGAGCGGTCAACAGAATATATATGTATTTAATCAGAAGAAAAAATTGAGGCAATTAAATCGCTCTGCATTGCCTTCCTTTTCCTTACTATCTTGTTTGGTTTTTATGGATTATTTCAGGATCCGGCCAGCGGTCAAGATGATTATTCTTTGTGTTTTATTCCGGCAGACCGGGCGGCAAACATTGAGGAACGTATTTCTTTGAGGTTGTTTCTTCCTGTCATGTTTCTGTCTTTTCACACCATTTTACCTGCACGTGTGCTGATGCGTTTCTCTGTGTGTTGCGCGACGTTCAATTTTTTTGTGTGATTTTTTTTTTTTTTTTTTTGGGGGGGGGGGGCATGACACGTGGGGATTTCTTATGCTTGTTTTATTGGATTGTTTAGGGGTTTTTATTTCTTTGGCGCAGGTGGAAGGAAAAAAAAAAAAAGGAGGAAGAAAGGGTACAAACAGCATGTCATCGGATGAAGAAGCTCTGGCTGCGCAGTACGCACGTCGGCAGGAGTTGTTGAAGCAGTTGAATGAAGTTAACAGTGCCATCAGGAGCTTGGAGCAGAAGATATCCGAGAAGACCGCTCAAAACGTGGAAAAAAAGTCTATGGATGCTGCTACGGGGGGCGATACAGAGATGGAAAAGCTGGACTGCCTTCTTGACCGCTGTGTACGAGATTCCAATGGTTTGCGGGACGCCATGAAGTTTGTCGATGCGTGCAAGGCCCTGAGGGAAAATGCTGCAGAAGAAGAGAGTAGCAAAGAAAAGCATCTCTTCTGCAATCGCTTTGTGCACAAAGTTATTGCCAGATCACCCGTGCTTGCGACCGATCCCAAATGGCAGTGAGCTCATCCAAAACACGCTAGGATTGTTGAAAAATGGGGGTTCTGTATCTCCGGCATTGAACTCCACGGATTACATTGCAGACCGCGCCAGTGACCTGTCGGAGATTCTTCTTCTTCTGGGGGAGATAAAAGGGCACATACCGCGTATCTGCTATGACACGAACGGCACCCGTTTTACGCAGAAACTTTTTGATTACGTGAAGAGCGTGGACGAGTTGGAATTTTGTGCGGAATGCTTTTCGGATTCGATCATACCGCTTTGCAAAGACATTAATGGTAGCCACAGTGTCGCCCGTCTTTTAGCCGCCGCGCGTCAGTCGAATTTTTCTGACGAGAATGGGAAGGTTGATGCTGCCACTGAAGAGAAGCTATCGGGGATTCACAAAATGCTTTACAAAAACTTTGCGGAAAATTGCGTTGATGTTTGCAGGAATCGTCAGGGGTGCTGCATTATTCAAAAGTGTCTTCAATGGACACCCGAGCCGTATTTTTCCATGATTATCGACACTGTTTTACAGAACACCCTTAAGCTCGTGAATGATCCCTTTGGTAATTATGTCGTACAATTTATTTTGGACAACGAGAAGGAGCTCTCGCAACGCGGCCAGTCAGGCCAAGAGGCTACGAACTACACGAATCGAACGATACGACAGATGCTGCATAATGTCGCGTCACTTTCGTGCGACAAGTTTAGTAGCAACGTCATTGAAAAGTGTTTGAGGACTGTTTCTTCGGATGTGAGGCAACTTTTAGTAGACGAATTGACGGACCCCCAAGTATTGCCTAAACTACTGACTGACAGCTATGCCAACTACGTTATTCAAACAGCCATTGTGACCTCTTCGGTGGAAAGTCAGTTTGAACAATTGCGCGACTCTATTATGCCTCTTCAAAACTTATTAAAGAATTCACCTTATGGGGTAAAGGTTGAGGCAAAGTTGGCGCGTCGACAACGGGCTTCTCTTCGAAAACAGGAACATCAGAAGGAGCAGAGTCGACGGGGGACAGCCCCTTCACATTTTCCTGAAAAAAATGGAGCCGAGAATGTGTTGACCCCACAACTCTTGCCTGGCATGCATAGGATACCAGCATTGGTTGGATCAGAGCCTCTTCAACAGAACACAGTTGCCTTTTCGGGGATAACTGAGGAAATGACTTCTGTGATGACTCAACCACACTACATGCCTTTGATGCTTCAAGGACAACAGGCTCTTATTGGTTTGCAACAAGGACATTCTCATCAACCCTTTCAAGTCAACATAATGAAGGACACTGCCATGTGGGGGCCTCAGCATAGCTTTACTCTATTTCAGCAACCCAAGCAGAGAAAAACGGATAGGTGAATATTATTTATTTATTTATTATTTTATTTTTTTCCGGTAATTGCACTGTGCTTGTGGAGCTTGTGCTGGTGTTT